CCCGCTGAAAAGGGGGGGGGGGGGGGTCGGTATATGGCATGTCATCTCCCTCTTCTCTACATATTTGCAAATTTCAGATTTTGTGTGTTTTACATAGTAGGGTCTTCTTCTGTCTTGGCTATCTTTACAACAAAAATTCAACCAAGAATACATGTAGCAGAAGAAAAAGATCATTCAGCTGCAGGGGGGACGGTAGGGAATTACAATAAAATCTTTAAGATGCATCAACCATTAACATAGGACAGCCCCCGGGTGGGCTTGGTTAGTTATTTATTAATGGAGAGAACATTCATATGTCAACATTTGAATGGAGAATTTGATGGCAAGGATATGAAGAACTTGATCTCTATGTTTTATACTAATTAAAAAAAAAAGTGGTCCTTGGAAGAGAAAAACCCACAAAGATAAAAGTAGCTCAATGCCGATATTTCATATGCGGTATACTGTGAAAATCTTGCCTTGCCAGCTTCAACCCCAAAATTGTATGTGAAAAGTGAAAACAAAAAGCATCCATCACTAACAAAATTATCCCTCCAAACACCAATCGGATAAACATTAGTTGATAAGCAAAATTTGATTCTGAAATATATGCAACATTAATAATTTAAATCATCAGCACAGCACTATAATTCTCCGAATGCCAATTAAACACAAATAAAAATTTTATGGTGGGGAGGGAGAAATCATATAACTCACTAGGAAGGAGGTTTATGTCCTTGTGAAACCCCTTTGACTCATTTTGGAGAAGGCCATCAGCAGCACCAGAAGGGTGAACTGAAGGGGGGACAACCCTGGGCCTCTCATCTTCAACAGCAGTGGTAGCTTTCTGAGGTAAAACTCCCAAACAACAACATTCCCATCTGCGGCATTTGTCAAAATCATATCTTAGATTCCCAATCAGAGAATTGGCAGCACCCAATTGAGGAGGAGGTTTGGAACAAGCCCCGATGGATACAGTCTTAAGAGCCATCAAAATGAAGCAAACCAATCTACAATGTGAGGGAATAAAGAGAGAAAGTGAGAAGCTGAGAGTTCAGAGAGTGGTCGTGGTTGGTGAGTTTGGGCGATTCACAGTATGACATTGTTTAAGTAATACGTAGTGTGGATGAATGAAAGAATTACGGTTGGTTGGCGCTTGGAGTAAGGGTGACCCCACAATTAAAGGGAACAGATGGTATGCATATATGTATGAGAGAATTATGAACTGTGCCTCCACCAGTTGCCAGTTTAAAGGTTTTGTTTGACTGGGGATTCAACTGTGAGAATGAATTCAGAAAAAAATGACCAACAAAAACGAAACAAACAGTTGGCGAACAAACGGGTTGGTGAACCGAATTGTCGCTAGTTACAAGTTTCCTTAGATTGTAATAATGCTAAATGTTGGAACAGTCATAATTAATATATAACATATTGTAATTGTATCTAACGTGACAGAAATGGAATGGACTAGCTTCTCCAAAGTGACAAATATTAATCAAGCCTAACCCTTGGCTCATCAAAATGGCCAATTTTCTCCAACCATGCTCGATGTACATTTTATCTATAAGAGGAATCCTGACTGTACTTTTTGACATTTTCTTCAGCATTTGCTTTTATTAGGTAAATGACTGGAGTATGAGGATCTTCGTTTTTGTTCACTGAGAGGGACATGCAGACTAGAGTAGATAAAAGTGCCAATCACAGACATATTTATCCTTAATTTGAATTAGCTTCATCTCCGGTAGTGAGGATTGCTTATAAGCAACTTCCTGTGCCACATCATTGTCATATTAGCTCTGGTTTACTTTATGACTTACTTAAATTTTAGCAAAGTTGTTTCTACAAGTAACTTTACAAAAATTTAAATAACTCATAAAATGAACCAGAACTGATATGACAATGTGGCATAGAAAGTTGCTTATAAGCAACTCCACCCGAAATTTATAGAATGTTTCGATTTCAATCCACAATATATACAAATTTCTATAATATAATACACTTTATATATTTATAAACTTTTTTTTATTTCTTTATTTCGTTATGATTATATTATTGGTGTGAAATTTAATGTTAGAAATCAGGTTGACTTAGAAATCTTTCTTTGTCAAAATATAGATTTGATTATTTAAGAGATATGAATTTAATTTTATTCGAATTAACAACTTATTAATGTTTGTAAAATGACGCATGCGTACTTATGTGAGAACCAATATATTTTGCAATTAAAAAATTTATTTTGGTATAGAAAAATATAGTTTTAATTTTAATAGTAAATAATATTTTATTTTGATATAAGGAAATATAGTTTTTATATTACTTTGTAATTGCAAATATTCAATTGATTTTCTGTGATGAATTACAAAAATATTTATCTATTAAATTTTAGTTTTAATATACTTTTAGGAAATATAATTTAAAGATCAAAAGAGATACATGGTTAAAGAAATTAAGTATACAAATAAAAATATAGTTTGATGTGGTTGAGAAAAAAAAATTGTCTGCTAACATTCGAAAGAGAGGAGAAAAATAATACCGTATGTGAATCTTTTTATAAGTTGTTTCTTATTAAAAATTGATAACTTAAAAAAAATTAATTTTAAAATAAATAAGAAAATAATAAAGTGAAAGAAATAAGAAATTAAGACAAAATTCTAAAAATACTATTGCTGGAGTTTATATACAGAGAATAACTCTTAAAAATGTTCTTATTCAAAATAATTATTCTAGTTTATTTACAGAGAAAATATTATTTTAACATATTTGGTTACTTGAAAATTTTATCTAATTATCTACAGGGTCCATTTACTTGCATTTTCATTTTCCATTGTTATTTTCTATTTTCACTATTAATTGCAAAAAACATTACTTTATTTTTAATTTATTTCCTGTTTTGAAATATTTGTATAAAAATAAATATAAAAAAATACATTTTTTGTACAAATATTTGAAAATATGAAACATGCAAATTAAGAATAAGAGAGCAATTTTACAGTAAAAAACAAAAAAAAGAGTAAAATTCTCTTAATTTCTAAAATTAGTCACACTTCCTAACCATCACTTTAGTCTTCTGATGGTAGATGGTGTCAATTTGGTACAATTAAGTTAATAATCTTTTCAATATCTAAAAGGCTAAAACATTACTTCAAACCTATTATTTCTAGAGTAAATGGGCAATTTAGCTCTTGAACTTGTACCTTTTCGTTATATTAGTTTCTCAAATTAAATATTAAAAAAAAACTCAAATAAGTTTATGAATTATTTTAGGGTTCCATTTAAGTTTTTAAAGTTAAATACTTTTTTCATTTTCATCTCTAAATATATGTTATTATTATCACTTAAGATTTCAAATTAAAGATATAAAAAAACATTTTAAGGGTTAAAATAAAATCCTAAAAAATTCAGGAATTTATTTGAACTTTTTTAGTTTCAAATAATACTAATATATAGCTAGATGCAATTTCAGAAACTAAATTAGCCAATTCTCTTACTTTTCTAATTTGGAATTTTAGTTTCCAAAAATTTGATAGAGATACGTATCATTATACATTGACTTATTGTTAGAGATACGTACCAATATTATACATTAACAGTTTCCCTGGTGCCAAAGGCTGATACATTAACTTATTGATTAAATTGCTGTTTTATTAAAGGTAGGTTGTTTTTATTACATTATACCCAAACAAAATTGTTAAGCTAAGTAGTGATTTTTAGTATGAAGTCATATTTGTATCATTTTGAAAGAAATTGAACTGCATTTTTATATAATATTTTTTATTCGTAGAAATTTAAATGACAAAAATAGAATTTAAACTTAAAATTTTATGTACTTCTTCAACTTTTATCACATAACATGGATACAGTTTATTTATTTTATTTAATTATTTTTTGTAAAAAAACTATCACTTGGATATCACTGTGCCACGTTGCAACTTTTCAAAAATTTTAATTAAAACAAATTAATCTAAATATATTTAATTATGAAACAAAATTAAAATTAGTAAAAACTTAAACAAAATATTAATTATATAATACATTAAATCAAATATTAATTATTAAACATATAAAATATTAATTATTCAAGATATTAGATAAATTATTAATTATTAAATATATAAAATAGTAATTCTAGAAATATATTTACTGGGTATTATATTAATTATATAAAATATTAATTATAAAATAAATGAATAACCTTAAATAAAAAACAGGCTTTTATAAAATATTAATTACTTAAATATTTTTTTTATTTCTTCAAATATATGAAGTAAAAAAAATATTTCATCAAATTTATAATTATATATTTTTAATTATACAATTCAACGAAAAAAATTATTTAAGCCATTGTAATAAAATATTATTAATGAATCTGTAAAAAAAAACAAAACTTGTATATTATTAAAAATATGATACACAATTATTATTAGTAAAAATATTTTATTAAATTTAATATTAATATACGATTAACTCAATTATTGATAATAATATTACATGGTCTTAAGAAACTAAAACACTTTGAACTTATAAAGACCAAACAAAGGAATTTGTATATTTGTGAGATTAAGTGACATCTTGTTGAGATAGAAAGTCCTACATCAATAAAATAAGAAAAAAATAACAACTTATAAATCATACATATAGAGAGACCTTTTGGGTAATGACTAAAGCGAACAATATTTCATCATTATAAAATATGCTTGTGTAATAACCTTATAAAAATAATTCTTATAAAATAACTTCATCTCTAGTATCAAAGTCGTAAGGTAACCCTCATATTGTTTGAGGAAAAGATTGTTAGGATATTGATAAAATAAGAGAAAAAAACCTTTTGGGTAATGATAAAAAATAAAACTACAAAACTGTGAGGGCTTAGGTCCCAACACAAAAATCATTATTAATTATTGTGAATTTTATTATGAAAATTGTTGCATATTTGTATAGATTAAAAAAAAGAAGATATTTATATGATCGATTAAAGCTGGGTAGAGGATGAATGCAGAAATCACCAACCAGTTGTGTCAACAACTACACATTTCCTGCTCCAATTTAATACCTTCAAATATTAATTACAAATAGGTAAGTCAATGATAAACGATGAATATACTTTGTAATCACATAATTTGGGTCAAACATCAAATGTAAATTTTCCACTCTTCATACACCACCAACCACTTGTGTCAACAACTACACATTTCTTGGTCCAATTTAATACCCTGAAATATTAATTACAAATAGGTAAGTCAATGATAAACGATGAATATACTTTGTAATCACATAATTTGGGTCAAACATCAAATATAAATTTTCCACTCTACATACACCACCAACCACTTGTGTCAACAACTACACATTTCTTGGTCCAATTTAATACCTTGAAATATTAATTACAAATAGGTAAGTCAATGATAAACGATGACTATACTTTGTAATCACATAATTTGGGTCAAGTATCAAATATAAATTTTCCACTGTACATATACGTGAGGCACCACGTCTTTTAAGTTTCCGCTGTACACGTGTAGATATTTAAGTCTAAACTTTGAATCAAGAAGGACGATACGGAAAACAAATACAAAGGAAAGTAGAACACTCCCACTCTGAAATTTGGACCATTTTCTGAACAAGGGTGTGTTTTATAAATAAAATAACTCAATAAGAACATTTTTTATAGTGTATTTTAAATATATTTTATTGAGTCTTACAATCTCGTGTCATATTTAAGCCATTATAAGAAATTTATGTACACTTTGATGTAATGGCTTATCCTAATAAGCGATTCACACTTTTATATTTGTTTTTTTTTACATTTAAATAAGTTTTTTTAAAAAATATATATTTACGAATAATAAATTATGAACGATTATATATATCGACTCAACAAGTCCTTATATTTAAAATAATTCAATTATTTTGCAATGAAAATATTAATTCAAATTAATTATCTTAAAATTTTCATGCAACAATTACTTGGTCATTTATATAATATATACATGTATAGGGCAAAAAATAAAACAACTACAATCAACAAATTTCCTTGTGAGATTATATATATATCCTGGGTACATATATACATACATACATATATATATATATATATATATATATA